GTTTAACTGATTTTGATAAAAAGACATGGGGTCTATTTTCCAACGAAGTAAAGCATCGTTGGTATTGAGGCGAGATATTTTATAGTCCGAGATTAAGTCGGGAAACGAGGTTAAAAACGTGTTAGACGCGTTGACCGTAATCTCGAGTTCGCCAGTGAGATACGGACTGTCTAGTACATGCGCTTGGGTGGTAGCTTGTCGTTTAGCTACATTTTGATTTACTTGTCTCGTTACCTGATTAAGACTTTAAAATAAATGCATTCGTTTCACTTGTTTCAAAATGAGCAGACGTTTAAATTAGAAGACGTTGTAGATAATTTAAACGGTCAAAAATCTGTACGCGTAAAAAGGGTGTTGTTTAACGCCGGATATTTTAATATTTCCAGCGCCACGGAGATTGATTGGTTTACGCAAATAGATGGGAGACCCGCGTTTACCAAAGATAAACCTCCCCTCATACCCCCGGAGTTTCTTTCAGATGTACACATAAAAACGCCGGATAGAGATTTTATCGAGCGATTGTTATCCGATATACCATACCACTTTTTAATTAACGATGGAAATGTTTTACAAAAAACTATAAACGATCTTATAAAAGCGTACGAAGACGATAAACTAGAATCCGTTTTAGAATCAAACAAAAGAAAAAGAGCTATTATAGCTGAACGGCGAGGGGTGATTTTAGCCGCCATGTCTTCAGAAATACCAAAAACTGAATTAGAACTTAATACGCTTCAATCTTTAGTAAGAATATTATTTGTTAGAGAAAGAAAAATCTTTGAAGGTGAGGAATTGGCTTTAAAGTTTATTGAAGGAGAAATGGGTGCGAGCGAGTTGAGCGAGTTGAGAGATAGTAGAGAAGCAGGGTGATTATAAGAGGAAGTCTTATCGTGACGGGTGATGATTTCGATTTTATTCCTCCGAGTCATTTAGCGCCGTTACCACTCGGAAGTATCGGTTCGGTCATCATAGCACCGGGTGGTACGACGTCGATTGGTTCGATTTCATTTTAAATTCTATACCCGGGGTAAGTTTTCGAATATTTAGAGAATCTAAAAAGGTGACATTGGTGATAACCGACGTAAATCTCAAATTGCCCTTGAACAGAGAAGTATCTCGATTACTCAATTTACCCAAAGGAAGACTGGTATGCAAAGTGGTGTATACGGGGTCTTACGACGTTAATCCGTTTAAATTTTTGTTTATTCGCTGCCCGCAATTAAGTACGAGTGAAAACTTTTTTACTGGTCGTCCTTCTGACATCTTAAAAATCGTACCCGTGGCTACGCCCAAACCCGATATTGATAGAGCCGAGGGATTCAAAAATCTTAAAAACGGTATAATCGACAAACTGACATTTTCTATCAGCGGTGAAAAAGGACAGGTATTCAACAATAAGGGTGAGGGTATCATTATCGAGTTGGAGATCTTTTAATTTTAATTTTTTTTAATATTAAAAACATGAGTGTAGATGGTAAGGCGTTATACCCCGATATTTCTGGAGATGTACTCCAATTACATAGTAACGAAGAAACAAAAGTGTACAGACTTAAAAAGATTGAAGAGATTCGATCTTTAATCTTGAAAGAGAGAGACCACCGAGGGCGCACTTATAAAAAAATAAAGAGAATGATCGACACTATTAATTACGTAGAGATAGGATTAGAAGGATTGGGGGCTATAGCGGGGGCTTTCAGTATTCCCGCTCTATTGGGTGTTATATCAGCCCCCGTTGGATTGGTGCTAGAAGGAACGTTTATAGGCGCTTTTGGTGTAGATATTCTGCTTAGAATCGCGTCTAAGCGATTATCCGCCAAGCTAAAAAAGCACGACCAGATTAAGATATTAGCAGACTCCAAACTTAACACGATTGAAGAATACGTGTCTTAAGCCATCAACGACGGAGATATATCGCACGAAGAGTTCTTATTGATTACAAGAGAGCTCGCAAAATTTAACGAGCTTAAGCAAAAAATTAGAGCAAAGACCAGCACAAAGCTTCAAAAAATTAAAAACGATACAGACTTTGAAAAAGAAGTTAAAAAACGGGTAGAGGAACGGCTGGCAAAAGAAAAAAATCTCTCATCGAAAAACTTACAAGTTCGAATTCTCGGTAAATAAACATTATGAAAGCGAACCACCGAGTTATACCTCTATTTCACCTCTTAGGGCTACGCCCTCGACCCCGCCTTTATTGTAGTGGTCTTCGTATCTTTATAGTGCCTTATTAAATTGATTTTGAGTCACTTTAAATAATTTTCTAACTCGTTCTTTGTCTAATCCAATGACGTGATGATAACACGATGCTATTAACGAGCGTTTTACGCATCCGTTTCCCCTCAATGTTTTGTAATTAACGAGCTCGTTATATTTATTGATTGTTTCTTGGACATCTTCTAAGTCTTGCTCTGGACAAACAGACAAAATAAGTTTCTCCACAGTTTTTCTTTTATTTCTTTTTAAAGTTGACCAATTGATACGATCTTCTTGCGCATTTTCTGCCGAAAAATCAAAATAACGTGAAACTATTTCACCACACGTTTCACAAATTAAAAAACCATTCTCGATGATTATATGGTGATCGCACTTATCCCCAAGTTATGACGTCCCAAAGTATTCCATCTATTTAATAAACTTTAAATAAAAATGATTGCATTTTTAAATAAATAAATATCGCACTCTGTTTCTTTATATAATTAAAATAAGATCTCTTAGCGCTTATAAATAGCGCCCTCTGTTTGTTATCGGTACAATAACCCTTATCATAAAATTAAATACCGCCCTCTGTTTATAATCCCTCACCACCAATGAATGGCGCCCTCTGTTGATTTCTTTTATTATAATTGCACCTGGCCTCGATAACTCGATCATTTATTATACCGCCCTCTGTTTATATTATTTTGATATCCATCACCACACAGAAATAGCGCCCTCTATTGATTTTGGACTCGATAAAACTATCATTCATACGTTCTCTTTATTTGATATTCATATATTATAATTTATACAGTAAAAAGCCACTCTGAGTGACTTTTTCTTTGTCATTTAAATTAGCTTATTTAAATAGCTTTTATTACATCATAATATATACAGTAAAAAGCCACTCCGAGTGGCTTTTTTGTTGTCATTCAAATTAGCTCATTTAAATAGCTTTTATTACATCTTAATATATACAGTAAAAAGCCACTCTGAGTGGCTTTTTCGTTGTTATTCAAATTAGCTCATTTAAATAGCTTTTATTACATCTTAATATATACAGTAAAAAGCCACTCCGAGTGGCTTTTTCGTTGTTATTCAAATGAGCTCATTTAAATAGCTTTTCTGGCATCTTAATATATACAGTAAAAAACCACTCCGATTGGCTTTTTCTTTGTTATTCAAAGTAACTCATTTAAATAGCTTTTATGACATCTTAATATATACAGTAAAAAACCACTCCGAGTGGCTTTTTCGTTGTTATTCAAAGTAGCTCATTTAAATAGCTTTTCCTACATCTTAATATATACAGTAAAAAGCCACTCCGAGTGGCTTTTTCGTTGTTATTCAAATTAGCTCATTTAAATAGCTTACTGGCATCTTAATATATACAGTAAAAAACCACTCCGATTGGCTTTTTCTTTGTTATTCAAAGTAACTCATTTAAATAGCTTTTATGACATCTTAATATATACAGTAAAAAACCACTCCGAGTGGCTTTTTCGTTGTTATTCAAAGTAGCTCATTTAAATAGCTTTTCAGACAACTTAATATATACAGTCAAAAGCCACTCCGAGTGGCTTTTTCGTTGTTATTCAAATTAGCTCATTTAAATAGCTTTTATGACATCTTAATATATACAGTAAAAAGCCACTCCGAGTGGCTTTTTCGTTGTTATTCAAATTAGCTCATTTAAATAGCTTTTCTGGCATCTTAATATATACAGTAAAAAAACACTCCGAGTGGCTTTTTCTTTGTTATTCAAATTAGCTCATTTCAATAGCTTTTTGGTTTGTCATATATCAAAAGGTTTTTGCATTCTTTAACTGCTGAGTCAAATCTCCTATTTTGACCACGATCCATTCACCCACCGTGTTGACCATGCTGTTTGCCAATGTGACAAAATCTTGCCCGTATGTAACATCTACAACACTAGATGGACAGTTCATCTGAAAAAAAGGAGAAATAGGCCTTAATAAGTAAATTTTGTTACACACAAACATACAGTAATAATAATTTGGGGCCTAATCGTCCTTTCTCGCATCTGGCATGCTAAATTGCAAAAGACGCAACTACAACGTGTTCGGGGCCGCTGACAAGTAAAGACGCCTATGGTTTACGCCTTTTACACACAAATCACCCTGACATATTGGACACCTGATGTATAAAAATTCACGTTATAAGCGTATTATAATTACCTTTGAAAGTTGGTCTGTTGGTAGTTTAGCTGCTCGTATTTGGAAATGAAGCTACACAGTTGTACAGTGCTGTCGAGTCTTGATATGATTAGATACCACTGAACTCCGCCTTATAAATCCGACTGGCCATCCGCTGTGAGGGTATCTGGCTTATATAGGAACTAAAAATAGCAACCATTGTGTGCTTCTGACGTATGCGATGAGTCATATCCTGGCTGCCCCAACTAACAAAAGCAATTCATCACGGTCCATTGAATTTCAATAGATGTTTACCCCAACTGCAAAAGTGTGTAGACTTGTACGAGTCGTATTTAACACAAGATCAAAAATGAAAAATATAAATATAGAGGGCCTGGCCTTATTTCGAGACTGAGATATTGAGAGAGATATATTTGGGAGGGAGATCATTGGGAGAGAGAGATTATTGGGAGGGGCGGGTGGGGTGGGGGCGTGGTCAGAGGGTGGGGGAAAGGGGGAGGGGTAAAGTCTGGTACCTGCCCCTCTCCCCATTGGCCCTGTACTACCCCCAGACCTATGGCAAAGTCTGGTATCCCCCACTTATACCTACTTGTCTACACCGTATAGGCGCACATTCAGACGGATTCACCAATATGGCGCAGTTCGTAGTGAGTTTTAAGCGGCAGCGTAGAACCTGTTCTGGTTCTCTGGGAATATTTTGGTTAGGCATAGCTCTACTTTGTAGCCTGTCCGTGTGTCTTGCTGCGACAGAAGACGAAAATGCTTGCAAAATCTGCTCCTGCTATAAGACACAAGTGAATTGCATTGGGAAAAATCTGTCATCTGTTCCATCAGGGATACCACAGGGCACAACCGGGCTGTAAGTTGAAGTTCGTTTTCTGCGGTTTGGGCTTTGCACAAAGCGGTTTTCGGGGGAAAAAATCCAAACTGGGCCACCACTCATATTCCTTAATATGACATGAGAGGTACCGAAAGTTGTAAATCTGATGAAGAAACACTGTTTAAGGAGTGCAAAAAATATTTGATAATACTTTAAATTGTTCTGTCATGGTCCATAGACTTTGTGCAAGAGCTCTGAGTGGTGGCCCAGTATGGATTTTTTTTCCAGGTTTTCCAATCATTCATGTACTTTTTCAGTTATTTAATTTTTTTAACAAAACGTTTGTCCACGGATCATATTTAAGGTAGGCCTACGTGATACTAGTAAAACCGTGTCGTCGCACAAACACAAAATCAGAATAATCCCATGTCTCCGAAGTAGCCAAGTAGAAGGCAGGGCAAGACTACATACTCTTGAAATTATAAAGCATGCTCTTTTAACATTGGAAGCGGAAGATGTTTAAATAAAAGTTATTGTAAGTGCCAGTTATCATAGTTATTAGATTTAAAGTGGTCCGGTGTGTTTTTTCAATATGTGAATTGTCTTCGTTTGCTGAAATATCACTTATCTTTATCAACTTGAAGACACGTCGTTAGATAGTCATGTTTTGTCCGACGAGTCCCCCAACATTTACAAGCACGGCGCTCAGCTAAAAGTAGCTTATGAAATTGGCTTTCCAGTTATTATTATTTTTGGTGCAACATGTAATTTTTTTTATAATATGAAAAATCTTTTGGGGTTGGATTCCGCTATTTTTGACTCGCCCTGTATGAATTCGGATGGTATGCGCCCACGAAATGCACATACATTACGTTTCCATATAGAGGGCCCATGATAATCCGGCAAGCCGGCTGTATCGCTCATGAAGCACCAAATGTTATGAGTGGGGGTAGAGTTCGCAGCATGCGTGATCAATGCACACTTCTTGTTTTTCTAATCCCCGCCCCTAATAACCTTGGATCATTCAAAATACGCAGTGGATGGGGCGGGAACCAGTCTAGGTCTCCCGAACGCAGCACATATCGTCAATGGTCATGATTATTCAGCTAGTCGATGTTTATTCATCAGAAAATAACAATGACGTGACCCTATTGGTATCACTCAGTCAGGCATGCCATTAAAGCATTTCAATGAACGGCCCTCTTCGTGCTGCCACAGTGGCCTAGTGGATAGTGGAATGAACTATGTATTGCCAGATCTGTGGTTCGAGCCCACGCCCGTTTAAAGGATTTATTTTTGTTGGTTGGGATAGGTTTATTTTATTTAAAGGGAAAACAAGAACCAAGCGTCTTCCATCCACACAGCGTGTATCTATGCTAGGGCGCGTGTTGTGATTGGTTGAAATACAATGTATGCTACAGAAAAACAAATGCGCCTCCCGAACTCTCCTTTGTTTTCTGGCCATTGAAGGGATACTTGTGCACGGAGCGCATAGTCAACTCGGGTGGTACCGTAAAGGTACGCGGCGCGCGGCGCGGCGGCGCAGGCGGACTATAAAACCTGATCAATTACCGAATTGATTTCAAGTCTATCACTTTTACTGTGATCCTTTATTGTGATCCTAAATTCTGAAACGGTGTTGTTCTTTAAAAGTTTATAACTAGAAAAGTTCATGAGCGACTTAAATGATTCTTTTACAAAATGAAGTAAAGCTTACTACTCGGGCATTCACATCCTAGATCTTGAACGCGATATATGTGAAACGTCTTAACAACAATATGGGATGTCATGTTGAATAGTTTTATTTTAATCACGATGTATAACAACTTTGAAACAATCCGAAGGACCAAAACTTTAATAAATTGACATGTTTATGAGTGACATGTTTTGCTTCCGTTGCGCAGTGCTTATGATTAGCAGGTTCACAATATTTTCAGTATAGTTAGCCAGCAGTGCAATAGGTAATAAGCGACATGTTGAGCTTCCGCTAAAAGGGGTACCGCAGTGCTTTTGATTAACGGTTGACCAACATTAATAAAGTGTAATTAGCCTACGGTACAATAGGTAATACATGCGTCCTTTGGGATATGGTTTTCCTTTGTATGACCGGACATCATGTATGTCTTGATTATATTTCAGAAAACTCGGACAAAATAGATTGACGAACATACAGAAGGACGACTTCAAGAACCTCACCAAACTTCGGTACTTGTAAGTATCAAATGAATTTCCCGATGCAAAACCTCATTTTCGGGATTACACCAGATTGTTTTATCTCAAAATGGGACGCATTCGAGTCCATCACAAATCAGACCCAATCAGCTCACGAACTGTTAACTTTAGCTTTAACCCTTTCCTTACCATGGGCGATTTTTGTCGACAAGAAGAACCCTCCTGCTGGTTCCCATGGGCGACTTTAGTCGACCAGGAAACCACACACAGAACACCCTCAACACAGATATATTTACTACTTTTCAGAAAGGCGACATGTTGATATGTTTGGCCGCCCATTGTATAATGCTTATCCACTTTGATACTTGTCACTGATGTGTGGTTTAGATGTGACTGGACTTTGCAATAATGAAGACTTGAACTACATCCCTGAAAACGTACATCATTAATATCTAATTGGGACCATTAGTTTTTTAGTGTTCAACTTTGTATTCACTATTGACCCATTCACCATTAATGGGAAACTTTTTTTGGGGGGGGCAACTGCTGGCACGTACAGCTTTGATAATGGGTTTTGGACAAAATAAGTTTAGCTTACAATTTACTTCACAATTACTGCAACCACAGACTTGATTTCGAGTAGGCAATTCAGGGGCGGATCCCACTGATGTACAAGGGGAATCGAGCTATGGGAGCAGTAAAGGTGTTACGGTTTTTTTCTGAAGGACTTTCTTTTTTCTGGCCCAAAGGGGTCCCCTCTCGCGTAAATCCGGGGGGGGGGGGTTTGGGGGGGTGTTGGATTGGCACAACCAGGCTATTCAATAACAAAACTTTCAGAAATACGTGAAACAAATGCTAATTTTATTATAAAATCAGTGTATTTTAACAAACTGTAATATATTTTGACATGGTTTACCAAACTGAAAAATTCCAGTCTGAAAAAGTCTTTTGCAGTGGCTTACTCAGTATTGTTGTTTTTACAAGACAATTCATCCACACAGTAGATAGTCTGAATAAGTTGTTCAATCAAGTTAAATGTTCAGGATGACATTTAATAACTTTTAAGGTGATTGCAAAACATCCTGTAGGCTGTAGGCCGTCAAAAGTAAAATAGCCTAACCCCTTGAATATTGCTATTCACAAAGCCTATATACATGCCCTTGAAAATAACTTCTTCTGTTTGTTTGATAGGCACTTGGATGACAATCAGATATCTTATATACAAGGTGCATCGTTCCTAACTCTTAACAACCTTCAAACCTTGTAAGTAGCTGTTCTCAGTACATTCTGTATTCCATTTCCATTCTTCCTTAATAAGTAAATCGTAGCTATACCCACTAGACCCATAACAAACACCCCAAAAACACATAAAGACCCACAAATAAATCCTACTTTATCATCATGGACATTAATTACTCTGACGAAATGACTTTCATCACGTTCATAAATTTGGCCTAGAAAATAGTCATGTTGAACAAAGGCATTTCCTTTAACGACTAGAGAGTAAAGATTAGACACTCGATGATATTCTTATGCAATAAATATGAAATGTTAAAAATCATTGTCATTGAATGTGCTACTATAACGGTAGGTGCATTAGAGCACATGCACGCGTGCAGGATCCACTGCATGATGGATAAACGCGAATACATATTCTTTTCTGGAATGGGTTTTTCGATACTGTACACTTTCGGTATAGAATGAAAGCTTGAACAATTAAAATTAAGACTTGAAAGTGGATTCCCCCCCCAACATTTTAAACATACCAATTTTTCGAATGGAAGAGACACACAAACGGCCATTCGCACTTGGCGATGCCCCCCCCCCCCCCCCCCCCCGCGGTTCTAGAGCCAATATTTAGGGGGGCTAGCCAGGTGGATCCAGAATTTTTTTCCTGGGTGGTGTGCTGAAATGTAGACCGGTTATTTTCTCCGGACACTAAGGCCTCTGAAAATCAATACGTGGGGGGAGGGGGGGGGGGGGGCTCGTGCCATATTTTCAATGGGGAGCGTTGATAAAATCCTACAATCAGACACACATATTGGCTGCTGCGTCCGAATATACTCGGGATAGCTTTACACCCCGGCAGGTGCTATGCCCGAGTATACTCGGGATAGCAGTAAACGTTGTGCTGCCCTCTGTTGAACAACTTCAATTGTTTAGGGGGAGACCGTTCCCATGTACGTCATACTCTTACATTTTTGTTAGTGCATTGGTTTTTTAAAGCCCCCCTAGCCCCCCCCCCCCCCCCCCCGTAGAACCGCCACTGACTTCTTCAGGCAATTACTGGTAATTTACAGTCCCACACATACTGCACACAACCAAAAATCTGACCAGTGAAGTTGCACCAACGTCTTGTTGCATTTTCACATTACTGGAAGAAAATTGAGAGTTTGCTTCGGAACTACTATGATTTTTTTGAATGCGCGCTGAGCTGAAAATATTAGGCCACAAAGGTCGTGGGGTATATTGGTTGGTCGCATAGAGCTACATATATATTAAAGACATAGTCCATCATTTGTAATTTGTGCATTTTGTTTGGAGCAACAAAAGTGTTCAAAATCTAATGAAGGATACTGAACAACTTACCTGATGAAGTTTCAGCTCAGCTTCAGCTGTATTTTCCGAGAAAAAAACAGCATTCTAGGATCTCAATTTTAAATCAAATGTTGCTAAATCGTGCTTTGAATTGTTTTGAATTGCAGCTTTACGCGATGTCGCGCACTGATCCGACGAATTATAGCAACTGCGCGCGCCTGTGCGTCGTGTCAATGTTGCGCGCACTGCGCCGAATAACAAAACGAACTACTAATTTAAATTTTCCTACGGTGCTTTTTAAGACGCACCGTTGGAAATGCCTTCTTTCGTTGATTTCTTTAAAATGAGAGCATGCCAGAAAGAATAATTTCACAGGGAGTTTAGTCCCCTTAATATCTTTCAACCAGTATGTTTTTCTACATAATTACGCCAGTTACTTTTTTGGATAGCTGCAATGATGGACTCGAGCTTGAAGTAACTAGAGCGCTAACTCCTCTTTTTTGCGCGCAGAGACACTTTGAAGCCGTCTTGGGCGCAGACATTTTGAATTCATGTGCGTGTTTGTAGAACATAATAAAATTAAATGGATTGAATTTTGAAAGTGTACTCTAAAAGCAACGCGCATGTAGAACGTACGCAACAGTGTAAGAATGGGTTGCCATAGATACATATGGGCATAGTGCACAAGTACCCCCTTCATTGTTGAAAATGAGGAGCAATGTACAGATAGTGTAAACTTGCAGTGTTCTTCAAACGCTTGTGGTTAATTAAAGCTATATTTCATCATTTTCAGCTATCCAAAAGTAACTGACAGAATTATTGTTTAAAACACACTTGGTTGAAAGATAGTAAGGGGACTAAACTCCCTTTAAAATTATTCTTTCTGGCAAGCTGTCATTTTGAAGAAATCAACGACAGTTGGAAAGATCCGTTATAGTAGTTCGTTTTTTTTATTCGGCGAAGCGCGCAAGCGTTGACACGACGCAGATGCCCTCGGAAAAGGTCGGTTTTCACAGGGCACGCGAACGACTTGCGAAGGATGCGAATGTTGAAAAAATGGCAAAGTCCAACATTCGTATTTTATGCTGCAAAAGATCGCCAAACCATCGCGGGGGTTCGGAAGCATCGTCAATTATTCGCGGGTGTCGTTTTTAGTTCGGCGGGAGTTTCAAAAAAAATTGAAATTTATTGCGAACGTTTCCAGCATCTCGGGTCGTGTTTTGCTCGTGATTTGTTCTCAAAAATGTCTTAAAAGCTTCGTCATAATTATGCGCAGGACCTACTCAAGACGTGCGCGATGTTCGCAAAATCTTCTTAAATCCCCAAACAGACCGTCGGTCCAGGAGCGGCGGAACCTGGAGGGCTGGGGGCGTTTGCCCCCCCCCCCCCGATTTTCCCAAGTGTCTCTTTTGCGGCCATAAATGTGCCCCATCGAGATAAATAAAAAATGCCCTTAAAGTATCTTAGTATTTCTTAGAAGTAACCATTTCCCAATAATGGTAGAGATATTTGTGATATAAACGAGGAATATAAAAACCAAGTCCAAAAACCCATACAAGACGCCCTGAAAATGGGCACATAATGTAGGTTTAGCATATAATCATTGGTTTTGAAGAGCGCCCCCTATGTTGGAAGATGGTACAAGCCCCCCCCCCCCCCCCCCCCCCCCGGCACTATTTGATTTTACGGAGGCCAAGTGTCCGGTGAAAAAAACGTGGCGACATTTCAGCACGGGTTTGCAAGTGCCCCTTTTGGTTTGCAAGTGCCCCTTTTGGGTGCTCCCACCCCCCTCCCCCCAGTTTCAAATCCGTTCCGCCGCCGCTGCGTCGGTCGGATCACCAGTCGCAAGATAATCGCGCGACATATGTACGAATGTCACAGGAATGTCGCACGGTGTTCGTTGTTTGCGAAATATGCGGAAAAGGTTCGCATGTGTCGCTACATATCCGCAAGAATTTCGCCCGTGATTCTTGGAACATTCGCGTTGTTCGCATTTAGGTCGCGTGTTCTTCGTGTATGTTGACTGGCCGTAGTTCAGTCACGGTACACACGACATCGCACAAACTGCGCAAGAATGGTTTACGACTCCATTGTCGGGAGACATTCGGAGAAAAACCTCTCCGAATGTTCGACTTTGCCATTTTTTCGACTTTCGCATCCTTCGCAAATCGTTCGCGTGCCCCGTGAAAACCGACCTTTACTTTAATTCGTCGGATCAGTGGGCGCCATCGCATAGCTGCAATCGGCTAATTAAGTACGTGTCTCGGACGCTGAGTTCAGGCCCAATTCAAAACATGATTCAGCAACCTTTTGATTTGAAATCGAGATCCAAGGTTGTTTTTCGTGGAATATACAGCTGAAGCTGAGCTGAACCTTCATCAGGTTAGTTGTCCACATAGAGCTATATTAAATTACTAGAGCGCTAACTTCGTGTATAAAGTAATGCCTGATGGGCGCATCTATGTTTGTGCACAAACCTATGGAGACCTAGAAATTGTGTATGGCTTTTGTACGGCTATTTGCATATCTGCGTTTGTATTCCATACCGGTGCGTTATCGAAGCCAATACGCCCAAAATCGAAACGCACGATCAGCAAATGAGCGTTTCATTTTGCTCTACGCAAACAGCGCAACGCGTGCGCGTATTCGCTGCAGATGCTTTTTGCCGTAAGGTTTTTTTAACCGTCCATGACGCGCTTAAGTTATTTGCGTTGTTTTACTTGCGCATTGCATGTAGAGTATACACTTTCGAAATTCAATCCATCTAATTCCATTATGTTCTACAAACACGCACATGAATTTAAAATGTCTGCGCCCAGGACGGCTTCAAAGCGTCTCCACGCGCAGAATGACGAGTTAGCGCTCTAGTAATTTAATATAGCTCTATGGTTGTCCACCACCCTTCTTTAGAACAAAATGCACAAATTACAAATGATGGACTGTTTACTATTAAGCGCGTCACGACAGTTTTAAAAGTTACGGTAATCATCTGCAGCGAATACGCGCACTCGTTGCTCTATTTGCACCATAGAGCTACATTAAAGAGCGCTAACTCGATGTACAAAGAGATGCCAGATGGGCGCATCCATGTTTGTGCACAAACCTATGGAAAACTCAAAATTTTGTACGGCTTTTGTACGGCTGTTTGCATATCTGCGTTTGTATTCCATACCGGTGCGTCATCGAAGCCGATACGCCCAAAACCGAAACGCACGACCAGCAAATGAGCGTTTCTTTTTTCTCTACGCAAAACATAGCGCAAACAGCGCAACACGTGCACGTATTCGCTGAAGATGTGTTTTGGTTTTGCCGTGACGTTTTTTGAACTGTCATGACGCGTTTAAGTTGCCTGCGTATGTTCAACTCGCGCGTTGCATGTATCCGCTTCGTTCACAAGCACCCCCTCACCGGCAGAGGAAGTACAGCCATCTTGCCTGACTGCAATTCATTTGCCGCAAAGCGCGGCCACTGCGTGTAAATAGAACAAATCCTCTGGTGTACGTGCGTCACACACAATGAACGGTGTGCGTCGACCAGCGAAATGTCCCGCCCATGGGACGTCGTTGTTAGGTAAAAGGGCGCCCCCTTTTGGTAGCGCACGGAGCTCATAGTACACTTTCAAAATTCAATCCATCTAATTTCATCAGTCAGTTGCTGTGTCACGCGTAGCTGCTCTATTTTCTCGTCCACACAACTGACAGCAACGCGAGGCCAGCGAAAGATGGCCAT